CGAGGCGCTGGTGAAGGGGCTGCTGCCGGAAGCCGACGTCTCGAGTACCGAGGCTCTGCGCCAGCTCGCGACGTCGCACGGCATCCCGCTGCCAGACGCGGCGGCCCACGACGCGCAGGGCGACCAGGACGACAGCGGCGAGGGTGAAGGCGACGACACGGTGTCGCTGCTGCCCGACCAGCAGGGCCAGGTGCAGTACATTGGGCCGGGCAGCTCGCTGTCGTTCCACATCAAGCTGCGCACGCTCGTGGGACGCGGCGCCCTACGCGAGTTTGTACTGTCAGTAACGCCCCTGCATGAAGCCTATGGCGACATCGACTGACTGCTCCACCCCTAGTTTTGGCAAGAACGCAGCCCAGGCATCGTCGCCCACCGGCAGCGACGACCAGCGCAGCCTGCCAGGCCCGACCGCCGCCCCGACCGCCCACAACTCCGTCGCCGTCCACGGCCGCCACCTGAATCCCAGCGAGCGCCCGAACCTCGAACTGCTGATACGCGCCTTCTTCGAACACATACACCCGGACTTCCCCGTCCTACATGAGCCCTCGTTCCGCGAGGCCTACGACGCGTGGCTGGCCAACCCCAGGAGTGCAGACCCGGCATGGCTGTGCACCTTTACGTGCGTGCTGCTGCTCGGTCGACGGGTGGCGCGCATTCCCTTTCCAGAAGACCAGGAGCGGCTGTGGTGGCAGAGGACCCAGACGCTCCTTCCTGTTGTCATCTTCACCTCGAGCATCACAGCCATACAGGCCCTGCTACTGGCTGCCATACACCTCCACAACACGAACCACCGGGACGCCTGCTGGAACCTGACTGGTGCCGCTGTCCGCATAGCGCACGCCATCGGACTGCATCAGGACAAAGTGAACGCCGGCCAAACACCGCTGGCCAGGGAGTCGCGCAAGATACTGTGGTGGACGCTGTACGCTTTCGAGACGATGCAGGTATCCTCCTACGACCGGCCGAGTGCCATTGAGAATCCTGGCGCAAAGACGAGCGCCCCTAACGAGAAGATTATCGGCGGCCCTCCAGAGTTCTTCGCATGCTCAACGCGCCTGTTCATACTGCTGGGCCTGACATGTCGCGCGCCCAAGACTGTCAAGTCCAACGCCAGCGACGAATCCTACGTTGGCCCCTTATCACCCGCCGCCGGCGTGCTCCGGGATCTAGTCCGATGGAAGGAGCAGTTGCCCCGGCATCTCCAATACGAAGCCATAGAAGCCTCGCCCATGCAACGAGCCCTGATGCTGATGCACTGTGTATACCACTATACCATCATTGTCTTATGCCGCTCAGCCCTGCTTGCCCGCGCTTCTACCCTGACCAAAACCGGCCAAGACTCCACAAACTCTGCACTCACAGCCATGGCAGAAGCTTGCTCGGAGTCTGGCCGATCTCTGGCTAACATACTACTGAGACTCGAATCTTTAGGCAAGTTCGATGCCGTCTACTCGTGTGACATTTGGTACACGCTTGCATCGAGCTCGGTACTAGTCCTTGATCTGGTATGCCTGAACAAGCTGGGTGGTACGGACATGTCCGAGTCCAGGATTCTGTTGTCTCAGCTAGCAGATCTGGCACAGCGACATAGGCGAAATCCATTCATGCCTGGTACCATTGAGAAATTTGCTTCCCTCGTCCCGGAGTTGCATTCCATGGCCGACTCTCTAGCTTCGCCCGTCAGATTTGCGGAACCGGAAATGGAGACCCACGACACCGGACCGCAAAGCTCGATCCCAGCGCAACAACTGTCGCAGCCAGACGCAGTACCGCACATGTACCATCAGTCACCACCGGGCGTGGGCACGTATATGTATGCGGATCCTATGCCAGGTCGTATATACCCAGACCAGGCGTACATGGCGCCCTCAATGCATCCTAATGCCCGGTTTGATAGAACGACGCAGATGCAGTTTATGGACTTTACCATCAACAACATTCATGAGTGGAATTGGGCGGATATTGGGACGATGATTGGTCCTGAGGGCGTTCCGAATATGCCTGGAAACCCTCATGTACATGGGCCACAACCGACGGGGCCGAATTAATCGCCGCCGACGAGGACGATGTAATCTTGAGAATATACCCCAAATGCGAGAGCGAGTTCAACTAAACATGACTGGATATCCTGGCTTCGAATGTTTACTCTTCCGTATCTCAACCAAGATTACAACCACAGGGTCTACCATGAGTTGAGAACGATAGAAGCTGCTTCTTGTTTCGTCCGCAACTATTCGCAAGTCTAACCTGGTCAGTCGAAGAGTGAGTTTAGGACTGGTAGGGCTGAAAGCACGTGGCTTGGCAGGTCCGCACCAATCACATCTCTTGCTCGTACCCGCACTCGCACTCGTATCGCACCGTACTCGGACTTTGACATTGCCAAGAAGAAATGTAACAACGCGTACGAGACGGCGGAGCATACAGACGTACGCGTTGATGCAGGTACTAACAAGCAGAAAATGTATATTATGCTTGACGTGCTTCGTTGTACCATCTCACAACAACGAAGATCAAGTCTTGACGCCGACCACTACGACCGAAATACGATACGAATTGTACGAGACATTGACGAACTCAACACCATCTTCTTCACAACTTCAACATGGGAGTATTCAATCTCCTTGACAAGCCCATCTTTAGCAGCCGTTTCAAATTCCCTATCCATATCGCTCAGGTCGTTCTCGTTATTCTCGCCATCGCGCTTACGCTTCCTCGTCTGTTCATTACCAATGTTCCGCGCACACGAGCAAGCACATATGCATTGGGCATGGTATGTTGAAACTTCCTAGTCTGGCTATATCTATGTACTCTTGAGTATCAATCTGGTTACTAATTCTTGTACCTAGGGTGCCAAATCCCTCATACTACTCATATACCTCATACTTTCGGAGCATAGTCCACGTTTCCAGCGTTGGCACAGTTACAAAGCGCATGCCATAATCAGCTGTATTGAGGTTATCTTCTGGAGTGTCGTTGCGGGGTTGATGTTTCAAACCAATCTCAGCTATTGCAGAGGGCCAACATGCGGTCTTAGTTGGGTCGTAGTCATCATCGCCATCGTCATCGTGTGAGTTGGGTAGCTCCTCTCATTGACTCTTGAACTAACACATGACAGCAATTCTGAGATCATCGTAGCAGGAATTTGCATCAAAGAATTCCGCGAGTGGAAAAGTGCAGGAAAGCCAAAGTCAACGAGGCAGCAGCACACCCGTCGCCCCGCATTCGACGAAGAGGAAGTCGTGCAAACACGAGCCGAGCGACCGAAAGAAGCGCCAGTCCAAGCCGCCGAACAAGCGTACTTCCAGTCTGAGCGACGACACTCCCAACGCAGCCATTCCAGGCATCACGGCGAGTCCCTATGGGAGACTCAGCGTACTTCGCGATCCCCCCGAAAGGAGCGTCAACACCGTTCTCATCGCTCCGAAGATCGTACGCGTGAGCGGGAAGAGCGTTCCATGCATGAGATGGAGGAGCCACGTTATGCTGAACATCAGCAATATACGCCGAGTGAGCCGCGGTACTAGTGTGAGCATTGTATACAAATGTCTATCATCACGATGATAATCTAAAAGACATCACGAACAACGTCCGGCGTTGGTCATGATTTCTGGATGCTCTCTAGGTGCTTTTCAGGCGTTGGAGTGTATGGAGGGATTGCAAACGGGTGTATAGGAGTACAACGATCTGTACCAAAATTATCATGTATACGTCTTCATGTCGGTCTTTCTGGAAGTCAAGAGCAAGAGTAGACATTTCTACGGCGAAAATGATGGAAGACGCATGAGATACCAATGGAAGCTTCCAGCGACGTGGGATTCTGAACAAGTCCTCTCGATCTGAGTAGGGGTATATGATGAATACGCGGATTATGATACTGTTCAGCTGCAGCAAGAAAAAGGCATGTCTTTGTCAAACCCCCTTAGAGTTGAACTGTCTCAGACGTAGATCAACACTGTCGCACATCTCGCCGCTTTATCATGAACCATCTGTTCACCCATAGTATCATGTAGTCGCCCTGTTGTACTCTTTCTCACCACACTCGTCCATTCTTTACGCTCCAAATCTGAACATGCCGCATTTACAATATCTATTCCTGTTCTGCTTCGTAGCCAGTCTACATGACCAAACACAAGCTCAGCAACAGCGATTCAACAAACTTTGCCCGATCCGATGTTCCTGGCGTTCTCCTGGGCTCGTTGATAAGTGTGGTTGCATCGGTGTCTGCGTCTGCTTCTTGTGACGTGCACACAGCCTGGCTAGATGCCGAGGGTCGTGCTTCTTAAAAGTTAGTTGTGTAGTGGTTGTATCATAGGGAGAGCACAGGCCCTCATACCAGAGTTTGGAATTGCAAGAGGCGGTGTCATAGCGAGACGGCAGTGGATCTGGTCTAAGCAGGCAGAACGGAAAGGCTGCAACTGATGTCTGACACCTTAAACACGATAGCGATAAATGTTAATTTTACCGGCGACGAAAGTCGCGAAGTTTGAGGATGTTCGGCCTTCTAATCCGGCTGGGAATGCGAAATACGAGCCGGAATGACCGTGGCCAAGCAAGAGGCGCACGCTCAGCGCGTGGCTTGGGAGGAGTCAGTTGTCAGCAGGTCAAGACATGACTTGGCTAATGATCCGAAACGTAGCGAACAGATTCATTTCCATGTTATTTGGTGAACGAGTCGCTAGTTCTCATCATTCCACGTGCGCTACTTCCCTTCTCATTTACCGTACAGACTGCGCTTTCTTACGACGTGCGTGATGATTGCCTCCAGTTGGGTAGGATACGTGTGACGCTGTTCCACAAAGGCGTCAACCTTGGCCTGATGGTACACTTCTGGCGGTGATGCGATGCATGCATCCAGTCCTCCAAAGTCTAACGACCTTGAGCGCGCCAAGGATACTCCCACTGTTCTGTCGTGGCAGGCAGTTGGCTGAAGGCGACTGAATGTGCGTTGTCATGTACCAGTGATTGAATACATCTGCTCATGCTCTTGCCTTCGCATTTCCTTAATCTTCCAGCAGATCCAGCCAAAGCACTTTCTGCTCTTTAAAAGTCTCATCCTCGATAACACCGCGGAACGCGACCTCGGCCTCCAACATTCCTGCTTCGACGTTTCTCTCTCCCATCTCTTCGTCGTCACTACCACAGCTATCGTTGCGCTTCTCTAATGCGTCAAGCATAGCCTCGCCCTTGGTCTCAAGCTCTTCAATGCGCTCATTAGCCAACGCCAGTGCTTCTCTCAGCGTAGACTCGGTGTCTGCTGCGGCTTGTGTAGTGGCCGAGGTGCCCTGAGACGTGTACCTATGCAGCGTGGCCTTCAAGCTCAGATTGCGCTGCTGCACCTTGTCTTTGGCACGGTCGCTCTTCTTAAGACGGGCGATGGTACGCATGGCATCGTTGAGCTGGTCGACAAGCTTGTCGTGCGCGGAGACGAGTACCTGGAAGCGCGAGTAGAGTTGCCCGCCAGCTGTCCTATCCTCTTCATGGCGGAATCGGAGATTGGCGCTTTCCTGCTCGATCTGAGATATAACGCAAGTTTGGTGCTCAAGGTCCTGGTGGGCTGCCTTGAGGTCCTGTTCTTGCTCCAGAGCGAGCGAGCGCCAGTTGTCTCGATCACGACGGAGGCGAACTGTAAGTGACTGCGCCCAGGATAGTTCACTTAATAGACCCTGCTTCGATCTCGACGTTGTCTGTGGTGACTTTGGCGATGGAAGGGCGTGTTCGTGGTTGGCGCTAAAGCTTCCCTCACTTGGTACGCGAAATTCCAGCGTCAATGGGCTCGTAGGCGCGGAGGCATGTCGCGTGAACGATCTGAAGATTCGCGACTTTGGGTTTGCGGTGACGATATGCGCTTCAGATACAGCGGCTGGCATTTTTGGCGTTGTAGCTGCTGGTGTTCGGGTACCAAGGGGATGTGACGAGGGTTGCATATAATGGTGGAACTACAAAGAAAGTGAGACAAAGAGATGGTCTCAGGTGTGGACGTTAACATGTACAGCCAGCAAACGGGTGTGCTGTTTGAATGTGGGGTTCAACCCTGGGTGACTGTCGCTGCAGGTCGCGTGTTGTACGGCGCGTGTCCACGTGCGAGCGCGACCGGATTGCCCGCTGCTTCCGCATTCGCCTCGGGCATGTACAGTACAAAGCTACGGATGCGCAAATGAAAATGGAAAGATCACCCGAGGGACGTATGAAGACGTGGTGGTAATATGATGGAACTCAGATTACACGAATTATAGAAGACACGATGACGAAGATGCTGTTACTTACCAGGCGCTCTGATGCGACAAATACAAAAAAATGTATGCAACATCTCACAGAGCTACTGCTGCCGCAAAAATGCCCACAGCACCCATCATCGCCATCGCAGTCGGGATAGATCCAGCAGGTGCCAAGCCAGTACTCGGCGTTGAAGCGGCACCAGATTGAGACCTCGAAGGCGATGTCGCTCCTGTTCCTGATGCCGAGCCAGTAGGTGATGGCCCTCCAGTCGCTGAGGCTGATCCTGGAGAAGACGCACCAGTTGCGGTGACTAATGCAACCACCTGGTACGCCTCCATCTCCTGTATCTCGCTCTGCGACAAGACGCTCGTGGACGCGACCTGGTCGGCCTGGTCCGGGACGTATCCGCTCTGGGTGACGTCGCAGGTCAAGTCTGCCGTTGACATTGCGCCCTGCCAGCTGCAGGCCATATCCATTGTCCACGCGCCTGGAGTCGGGTCCGTGAGGTGCATCTCGTACGTCTCAGGGCCTTGTAGGATGGTATACGGCTCGCAGAAGGAGTAGTCGTCGTTGGAATCATCGTTCTGGCGGCGCATGCGAGGTGCGGGTGTAGGTGAGGGAGTCTCGGAGGGGTCGTCTGGGGTTGGTACTGGCGGTGTTAGTGCAATCTCTCGCGACAGGTGCATGACGTACGGAGATCAGACGGCACGACTGACACGCCGACTCCATCTGAGGGACAGCTGTTCTCGTAGGTCGTTGCGCTCGCATCTGAACCGAGCACGGTTAGGGTGCTGTCGAGTTGGAAGAAGTTGAGGATCGTCGCGGACTCTTGCGCAATGGCAGCGCCGGCGAGGAGCGGGATGTAGCTGGAGGGACGCATGTTGGATGACTGGCGCCGGCTGATGGAGAGGCATCGCTGTCACAGCGGATTGGGCCTGAAGTTATACATTTCCTACCTGTCGAAATCAATACTTCATGGTGTTACCGACGCCACCATGCCTTGCAATGTTAGGCGACGAATCGCGGGCGCGGTGTGCCTGGCGTTGGTGATGATGCATCAGCAAATACGAGAGGCGGCGAGACGCGCTGCCTGAATTTGTTGCTTCCTAAGCTCAGGGGCGCGCGTGGCTGAACTGTGATCGACTCATACTGACAAAGATGTTACGGTAGCATGGTGGCACTCTATCCGAGGAAAGACCAAACCCAGCCCTGAAGGTGTCTACATCGCTCCAGAATGTTGTTTGTTTCTTTTCTCAGCCAATGTAGACTTTAGCGTAGCCGGCTGGTTTCTTTTTGGCATGAGGCGGTGGGGACAAAGGGGTGGTGATGGAGGGTGCGAGGTTGAGGTCGTGACACGCATCGACCCGACTTCAACGCACCACATTCGTGTCACAACATGTGGGCAAAAAGAAGCCCACGCCCGTGATAGGTGTCTGCATCATTGGGCAAAAAGAAAGAACACTTTTGCACAATGGCAAAAAGAGACATTCCGACACCGGGAATCGAACCCGGGCCTTGCCGGCACTGCGCTGCAACAGCGAGCTTACTCTGCGATGAGAGCGGCAAATCCTAGCCACTAGACCATATCGGAAATTGATGAAAGAAAGAGATAATCAAGCATATATAACTTCAACAAAACTTTTCCGACGAAAATTGAGGGGGTTGAAGTTTGCCGGACACGAAAACTTTGCAGACCGACACGAGCTAGACAGCCAGTCATCCATCGTTGAGTCATCATCGTATGGGCTAGAGAAAAACTGGTCATCATTCATTACGTCGTTATCAAGCAGCAGCGCAGTGGACAGCCCAAAAACGCCCAAGTAGGCTGAAGGTCAACAGCGTCGACGACAATCCCAAAGCAACCCGAACCCACACATTGACAATCTGGACACGAAAGAAACATCCCATCATCCCATCACCGGTGTATCCGCTCTCTCCGGCAATGACTGCGCGATGGGCGCCAGTCCTAGCAGCTTCATGCCATTCTCCAACACGACTGCAGTCGCTTCATAGAGCGCCGCCAGACCGGGGGTGACCTTCTCATCCTCATCGCCCTCAGCACCCTCTGGAAGACACTCAGCAAGCTGCTCAGTCACACTGGTGAGATACGTAACAACACCAGCCGGCTCGAGCGAATGGTAGGTCGCATTCACGACCTCCGGGTACTGGGCCAGAATGCGCAGAAGATTGGCCGGGTCTTCTTCAGCCAACACTTCGTAATCTTCATCTGAGAGTCCAGCTGCGGCGTCAGCACCTTTGAGCAATTGGCGGACTTTAGCCAGCCAGTACTGCAGATCCGGGCCTGACCCAAGCTTGAAGGAAGCCATCGCAGCAGTGTCGAATGCATGTGTTGTGGTCAGGCGAGTCGAGAGCTCTTGCACGAGAAGTGATGATGTCGCGAGTCCTTCCCTAACATCATCCAACCCACCTACCACTTCGAGCTTCTCGGCATCGGCTTCCGACAACGCAGTCATCGCTTCCTCACATGCGTCCAGTATACCCTGCGGCTTGTACCCTTTACCAAGCGTCGCCGCCATTTTCGATACCTCGCTGAACTTGACATGCTGGAGCTTGTTGGCGAGCTCCTTCATGTCCATCGCTTCCAAGACCTTAATGAGCTGAGTAAAGTGGACGCTGTTGTCGCTGGCAACCACGTATACCATCTTGTCGAAAGAATACTTCCTCGAACGCTCCAACACCGCGGCGAGGTCTCGGAGGAGGTATGTACTGCTACCGGAGCGGTCGCGGATGATGGCCGTACCAGCCTTCGCACCTATGTTCTGCATGTGAATGATCTGAGATCCCCCGCTCTCCTCCGAGATACCCTTCTCCTTCAGCATCTGTTCGATTTCCACCATAGTCTCAGGCTTAATCTGCGACTCGCCAGAGTACTCGTCGAAGCGAACACCAAGTCGCTCGTAGAACTTGGTGTAGTTGTCGATATTGACATCTCGCACGCGCTTCCAAAAGGCGACAAGCTCCTCATCACCCTCTTCCAGCTTCTTGAAAGCCTCATTGCGTTCTGCGAAGATGCCCTTGCTTTCGATCTCTGCCTGCGCTTCGCCTTTATCTTCGCCTTCCTTCGCCACTTCGTCACGCGCCGCCTTGCTCGCCGCTTGTTCCGGCTTGAAGTCTTCTTCGATCTTATGGTAGACCTCCAGGAGGTGTCCGACGGGGTCGGCCTCATACGCTTCTTCCGAGCCGTACTTCGACCACCCAACGAACAACAACGCGATCGGCTTGCCCCAGTCACCGAGGTAGTTGATCCGCGTCACGTCCCATCCCATCGATTCGTATAATCGGCCGATGCATGCGCCGACGATCGTGCTTCGCAAGTGCTTTCCTTGAAACTCGCTGGTGATGTTCGGGGATGAGAGTTCGACGACGAGCTTCTTGGTCGCGTCATTTGGGACGGCGGGAAGTGTGATAGAGCCATAGGAACTCTTTCGAGTCGAGGTGTATGGCAAAAGAAGACGTGGCACGGACGTGACCTTGAGAAAGACACGAAAGTGAACGCCATCCACAAAGGGTAGGATAAAGAGTGGGTCGTCTTTCGGAAACTACAATCTTTAGCAAGTTGGTCTCGTCTACGTTCCGCAGTCTAAGGGTATGACATAACGTACCTTTTGCATCAGCTCAGCAGCCACTTCACCAGCCTTCATCCCTGGTCGCAGCTTCGGAAGGACCACGGCCAGATCCCCGCTGGAAATGTCGTTCGGCCACAGTATGCACTTGAATGTATGCCCCATATCGCAGTCCAATATACCCACCAAGATTGTCGCCAGATGTACGCGACACAAGTCCAGTGGGTTACCTTCTGCTCTCGCCGCCGGCACTTCTGGCAGAGGACTGTCCAAGCCTATAGAAGCCATGCACCCCTCGAGCACTTCCATGATTTTCCCTTTGATGTTATGAGTTGGCACGACTTTTTCTTACCCACCGCGTCGCAAGGCTATGAGTGTTTCTGGTTTTCAGTTCGCGATCTAGCAGCCGTGGGATGGGCACAGTCTCCAGGTTCGTGTCAAAACGACCTCGGGAGCGTTGAATCTGCGACGACTTCACGGTGTTTGGAAACGTCGAAGTACAGTATTCTCACCGAGTGTATATACGCATTCTTCATAGCCTCGTCGTAAGGAGACGGCAATCTTAGTGACGAGGCAGTGTTGTCGTGGTCTGTCGCAATTGGCCCACAGCTCCTGCAGGCGCGCTTATGGCGATCAATGAGAGCTTCAGATACATGCAGGCTGTAGGCAACCAACGAACTCCCCGCAATCCGACGGGTACTACGGTAGTCGCAAATGACGCTTTGCCGACTGCACGGTTGACGTAGCTTTCGAAAGCCCATGTTTTCTCATGATGCACATGCCCTGCTTCATGCGAGATTTAGTCTCACAGCCTCAATGCATAACGATTCTATCCTGAACCTCGCCTGCGGAGTCACATCAAATTGTTGGTTTACAAAGCGCGATCGTTTCAACCGATTTCAATTGTCAATTATTAGCGGACAAGGCTACCAAAATTACGGCACGATATCACCTCTTACCTAGGTACGCTAGAACCTTCGGGCGGTAGCGGTCATTGCAGGTAGGGTGGTCTTTTCAATTCTTTTTTGTACAAAGTCGTTCCTTCTCGCGTAATGTACATTGCAGCATGTTTCAGCTCTACGTCACATATCCCACGCTGTAGCCTTGAGAGGGAATAAATGTGTCAAACAGCTGGTGGTACAAGCTCAATATCGTCTGGAAGTGTCATTACGCGTTCGCTTCAGTCAAATCTTTCCTTGTTACTAACCTGCATCGCCAAACCCATCATGGCCATTTCTTCTACCCATCTTTCTCAAAACAAGGCGATGGAGACGATCCAGATTGCTCAACAGGTAGGTTAAGACCGAAAGCGCAAGACACATCACAGTCAACGAGATTGCAAACGTTCTAGGCGTGCGATCGAAGTGAAAGATATCTCGGTCAGCCCCGAAGTATTGCAGAACAAGAACGAGAGGTGTTGTGATGCCAAAGAGCTTGTCACGTTAGCGGGAATAGCCTTTCTCGGAAGACTTGGATCATCTACTAACCAGAACGTTCACGCGTGTACCTCGACTTGTCTCCCTGGCAGCTTCGGTAGTCTGCTTAGCAGCTTCAGTACTCCTTCGGTTCAGTGTATGTATCTTGTGACTAATTTCGTTGGTCTGGCGATTCAGCTCATGCGCACGGTCGGCGCGACGCTGGCTCTGCCAACTCAGGTGATAGTTTACACGCTCTTGATGCATCGACAGCTGAGTCTACTGTTAGAAGATAAAAATCTAGTATAACAGAAGACGTACTATGACTTGCGACTCTTGGCAAATTTTATCCAGCAGCTTCAATTTGTACTGCAAATTGTCTAGTGACTTGAACGCAGCCTTCAAGTTTCGGATGGCTGACAGAGAAACGGAGTCCCTAAGTTCAAAGAAGTAGCGATAATCTCCACCGGAGGCAGTGAATATTGTCCACACGCGTAGGGTCCTTTGAATGGTCCTGTGCAGCTTACCCAGAATGTGCATGGTCGTGGCCGTTTCGTTAAACAGTTGATCGATGATAGTTTGGTCACCCGACTTGTGCTTGATCAGGAGTTCACGGACCCGTTTGTCTTCCTAGATTGCATCAGCCATGATCAATGTTTGACTTTCGCATACACCCACCCAAGCCTCAACGCCTTTCTCGAAAAATTGAACGAGCACCTCCCACTCTTCCAGAATGCGGAGTACACGAAGCTCGGTAATGCGCAACCAGTAGCATCGCGGATCCCAAATAGGCGCGTTTGCATCTTGGACTGAATATTTTCGGGTTTCTCCGTCAACAGCAAAGTAATCCTCTTCCATCTCTTCAGGTTCGTCTTCCTGTTCCTCATCTTCTTCTTCATCGTCTTCATCTTCTTTCATCCTTGGTTCTAAAGGCGCATTCACAAATGCCCAGCCAACCCATTTGTAGTTGTCCCAGCCACAAATCACAATAGAGGTATGTGCCTCACGGATTACAAGTCGTCGTAAAGTCTGCTGGCCACGAATATGAGGGCGCTGGTGCTGAAGATAGGAAACGTCCAGCAAGTCTACCATATCTTCGGTGTGGTGTAGCCGATCAGTAGCGCTCGCCGTTACAGGACCTTCTCGCAACGTTAGGAAGGGGAGGTGCAGCTCCAAACTGAAGACATGAAGTGGCTATGCGTAGCATTGCCATTAGTGAAACTCATTGGTTTATTTGTGATTACTTACCCACATGTGCACGCGCATTGATGTCTCGAATTCGACATGTTTAGCGATGGCATCGCGCAGAGGGTTCATCTGATGCTGGTGCACTGTATCCACGAGTGCAAGGATGTATTCCGGGCTCAGCTGATTGATGTAACTGGCGTATGATCAGCATCAATAACATCTTTGGAAGAAGGTTCGACGCCGCAAGATCTATAATGTAGCCTTTCTTTCGTTGTATTGTGACTTGACTAGAGATATTGGCGCAGCGACACACCGAACTAACGGCTTTTGGGTAAATCGAGGTTGAAGATAGCCCTCATCTTAGCTGGGTCGCTAAGACACATCGCGGTTCGGGAACGGGAAGTGGACCAAAATTAACGTACATCAATCGCCGATCTGCGTCAGGCGCACCGCTATTATCGCCGGTCGAACACCCAAAACGCTGCCTTCATTAGCTAAGCCAGCATGGGCTTTGGTAAGATACCTACGTCGACGAGCAACAAATCCCTCAACGCCTCTGGTGCCAGCCATTCTTGCTCATAGTCGCGACGCTTTCCAGTATTATATGCACGATCATCTAACCTCGCTCGCGCCGGTTGTAAGCTAGTCTGAGAGTCCGAGTACAGGAATCTTTGCAAAGCGTCTTCCTTCCACGACGGAATAGTACTTTCGACATCCTCGAGAAAGTAATCCAGCGTCCCTCGCTTATAATCCGGAATGCTTTTTATGATCAAGACAAGCGGAAGGTCCTCCAGTGGTCGGTACGTCGAGAGTATTGGGTTCCATAGTCTCGTAGGGACTCCTTTTCGTAGGGAACTTCTTAGCCTTTGCATCTAGTCCTTGGCATACAGGAAATCGGTAGTACAGCCTAAAAGGCGATGGTAGCTGCAGTGGGGGGATGATGATTGGTCAAGCTCGAACGAGGCCGGGTCATGCTCCCGATAACCCTAGATGGACGCGAGTGCAGCGTGTTCCCCTGTGACTTCACTATGTGTTAGACGAAGCTACTCACGCTTCACCCAATGCGAGTAAAATTCAAAGAAAACTGAGTCAAGATCAGATGGTGGAAAGAGGGAGGTAAAATGCGGTCCTAATGCAAAACGTCGGTTCTTTCAGGTCTCTATAATCAAGTTCATGCGTCTTGCGAAGCCCAACGAACGACCCACCTGGCCGACAGCCCTATCTATCGCACAGTCTTTCAATCGTACAACTGGTTGACTGGCAATTGCGCGACACGTTTTCACCTCTGAATCGTCACGGAAAAGGTCACGAAGGCCATTGAGGGCGTTGTATCATCCAGGCCTTGCATGAATGAGGCTGTGTTGGACCTGCCCTGTCGGGCAGGCCGGTTGTCTCGATCATGGATGATTGCACAATGCACACTGTTTTCCATTGTCAACTCGTTCATTCGGTCAAGCGGCTGTGAAAAGATTGATTTACCATAGATTTTAAGACATTCGAAGCCACCTGGGCAGACAGGTATTTAACAGCAGGCAGATGTCTGCCTGCATCGGGCCTCCATGCATAGATACGAGCCAGCGCACTAGAAGCGCCACATAGTACTAATCTCAAAAGTAAAATAGCCAACATGAAAGGTTTTGTGCGCTTGGTAGGAAGTGTGCGGTGCGTGGGTCAACCGAGGTCTAACGTTCTTGGGGAACCTCAATTTGGGGTTCGATTTGAATGCATGACGAAAGATTGAAGGAACCTGGAGAGACCTTTTTCGCGATCTGAGCTAAGAATTTGCCTCCCCGATGAGCCTCACACTGGTTGCACGACTTTAGCGTCTAGGGCCATATTATGGTCTGGTCCATTGCTTGATAGCCACGTCGAAGCGATTTCGGGTTTATTCCACGTGCGCTACGAATGCGTTCCGGCTGCTCTTCACCGGTATTGACTTGTGATGAGGCTGACAAGCGTCTGCGATTTGATGGCTGTCTGCTGGACTGAAGGCTCCGGGACAGGAGTGAGCTAGAAGGACCTAGAGAATGGTGGCGGTCATGGGATCAAATGATATTTGATCGGTGAATGTGGAGAGCGCACCACCTACCAGATACAACTTAGTTTCTCTTTCGACTACCCACAAAGAAGGACTTGTGGTGATACGGAACCCAGGGCGGACTTAAACCAAACTAGAGTGAAGAAGACATGTACGTTTTGCGAGCTTAATATTATCACTTCGTACCATTGTACGGCGGATGTAACCACGTTTTAGACTGTCCAGCGTCCCATTAACGATTGGCTTCTCGCGTCCACGCACGACCCAATCGAGTGAACGTGACATCATGCGGCGACTGATAAGCTCTTTGTCAGGAAGACGGGTTGTCTTCAGTGGGTCATGATGTTCCCACAATCGGTGGTTGCCAAAGTGAGCGAGGAAAGGATCAAAGACTCTTGTCGTTCCAAGGAAGCAGTCAAAACGCTCGTCTAACGGCCGAGGACTATACCAAGAAAGAAAATCTGCACCATGTTTTCAAACTACCTTCGATGTTCCCAGCAAGGCTTCGTCGCGCGCGTTGGGTATGCCATCATCTCAGCTGTATCTTCGTGGTACAGCAATTGCCACAACGTCCATATCCACAGGTAGAACAGGCTTGGTTCTGATACGGTATGTTTGGTCGGCCACAATAGCAGCATTGCCAAACATATGTGTATCGTTTTTTGGCCTGACCACGTAAGTCAGTGCGACTATGATCCGCTTCCGCAAGAAGCCTTCCTTGCCGCTTACGAGTGTTTGTATAGGTATATGTTCGCATCGGCTTTGCATTGCCCATCCCAACATTGCCCTAGGTACCATTTCGGACACATGTTCGTCGGCGCGATCAATGTCGGTTCGTCTTCGACCGGTTCGGTATCGATGTAGAGCGCGGTGTAAATGGGCTGAATAGCCCTGCGTAGCACGAGCCGTGCAATGCTGTTGTTTCGTAAAGACAGTGCGCAGCCAGCCACGAGCTTCTCTCGTGTCCATAGGTTATGGATTGGACGCCAACGGTCAACATCAGCCTCGGCTCGGCGGTGCGGGGCTATCCGTAGGGACGCGATCGTTCCTGTGGGTTTCTGTGGGCGTTGCTGTGCCTGGCATCAACACAATGACTGCGGCTGTTTTGTGCTAGTCAGCATCATCCATTGGGTCACTGCTGTGGTTTGAAAGAGACGCGAAAGGGATCGTAACATGGCTGGAGTTGCAGGACTCGGGGAATTGAGATAGAACGGCGTAGAGACAACGGGGGCGCAAGAATGAACTCGGTGGGGGAATGAGAGGGTCCATTTTTTTTCCAAAATGAGACCGTGCGCGGATGCGCAAAACGTACTTACGTCGATGGTGTTACAAGGACTATTGAGAGGGATGGACAGCAACTCTACAGTTGAGTCCATCATCCTGAACTTATGCGTTTTTTGATAGCAACCAACGCCGCACCGCTTAAGTGCGTTGCTTACATACGCGAAAGCCTGCAATGGGCGCTCAACACGTCCACCTTCGTCGCCAGACAGTTCGTCGTACATCCATAGAACGGATAGCTACGCATGCAGGTTTTTTTATGATCATGATCGATGCAACGAAAACAAATTCCACCGTGGACCACGGCTTTCCTGCTCTACGCGTCATCTGCGGCAAGCCCATCCATCCAACGATTGCATGGCCACGGCTGCTCCGCGAGCTGTGCCAGCAGAGATATTACACAGAAATTCATTGATTGTCAATGTATGGTGATCCAGAGATAACGCGACTGCTGCATACGATCACAGCATGAAAGCGCTTACAGCATGAGGCAGTAGGTAGCTTGGAGAACAGGTCAGGCGGACCAGAACCGATGTGAGATTACGATCTGTTGTTTCTCAAAATCTTCAGACTAACACACGATCTTCTGGACTAGGAGAATGGTGGTGTATGAGCTGTATGCAGGTGGCGTTGACTTACCTCTTAGCACATGCTATTGATCGCGAGAGCGGAGCGCCATCGATTGAATTTGCAGCGAAAGCAGCGGCACCATCACTACTGCACGGTGCATGGATATGTTCTTGGTAAGTATGACGGTAAGTGTCGACGAGCATCTACTTGTCCGTGAGCTTGAGACTGGCGGTGTGCACAACGACAACGGCAACGCAGTGCATGAGACAGGGATATCAACCGCGCCGATATCGCCCGAATGTGTTCGTTGGCAGAAACGTGAATTAAAGAAGACAAATCAGATCATCCGAGACTTCAAGCAAAAACGAAAGGAGCGCCAGGAACTTTTGATATGTTCTCATTATGCGCCGAAACGGTACCGCAAACCTCATTACTGGACTGCTCCCTAGATATCGAATAGTCTTCTTGAGATCCGTAACACAGATCTAGTTCAACTTTGTGGGAGCACGACACCACTGATGAGCATGAGGATGACCAGATTACGCCAGCGCCTGTTAGCCCAATCATTCCAAACATCCGATAGTTGCGGCATAGAATAGCGGAAGGTCTTGCCTAAGCGCTGTAAGAGCTGTTGCAATGTTTCTGATGATAAGAGAGCTCATATCAAGCGTTGATCACTCGCGATGTATCTGCTATTAGAATATGGGATGTCTATCGCATTAGTCGTATTGTAGAGCGCAGCCGTACTCCTCAACTCTCAGCTGTGTCTTCCTAGCGCAGTATTTGTTATCGTGCGATTGATCCTCCAATATACGGAGTGACAGCTGACCCAGCAGCATGTTCGCACGGCAGTATCATGCATGCGGATAAGAAGTAACGAACAGTAAGTTATAACGGATCGTGCATCACAGACCTTACAGATCGCCAGAATCAAACTATACAGTATTCGGTTCTTATTATAATATTGAGGGTAGCTTAAGTTAGGTTATCAACGTTGTTCTTTTATATACAGTTACCTAACCGCGTTTTCTTGCCCTACTCTTTATTAATGCTTTACTATAATCAACACTATTCTAAGCTACTCTAGTCTAGAACACATTAAACATTTTGCATTGCAGGAAGGTGATCTATATATTGTAATACAACAACACTGTACTACGTACATGTCTGCTCTCTCTCTACTACTAGTAGCAGTTTCTGTTTTTTTAGCTAATCTAGTACCATGTAGTATATTGCTATAGGCTAGAATATCGAACAATCTATACCTAAGTAAAGTAGCATAGTTCAACGGAAGAAATGCGACAACATTTCTTATTATTAGAGTTTCTTCGATATACCTCGCTTGGGTAAACGTTGTTAGAGAACGTTTAAAGCCTGTAGACATATACCTGCTAAGTTATGTAATACAGACTGCTTAGTACATGTACCAAATTCTAATATTTGGCGGATGAAGCATAGCAGTAAGGTTATAAATAACCTTCTTTAAGATACTTAGGTAACTGCTATTCATGGAAGACGCAGTGCTCTGTCGTTCACAGCAGGAACTCAGATAGAACCTGTATGCTAATAGTATTTATGAAATCCAGATGATGGTTGTAACCCTGCAACTGAGGACACCCTTTGACAGTTCCCGGCAGCGGTTGTGTCACCTACAAAACTCGCAAGTAAACGAGATTCGTACGCTATTTACACCGTCGAAATGTTCGGGTTTCAGTGATACGCACGGCAGCAAGCAACTGCGTCGTGCTCGCGACTCAGCATCAGCACATCCGACAGAGCAACGCAAGACAGCAACGATGAGAGCCCGGATGATAATAGTGATTCGGGAATGTATCTGAAATCTAGGCGCCTGGGCTACCTAGGTAGTCTCAAGCATCCCTGGGGCAGCAGGCGTAAGCCGCATTGTCACCCAACATGTTGTATCCATCGCATTCTCACGCGTCGCAAACCTACATGCTCATGGTTCAGAGCGACCTCGGAAATCTCTTGCCTGATACATTCGACCTCGTTGAGCATTAGTTGCCGTCGACCTCAAGCATCCCGAAGTCTTGCCACTCCAAGTGGTACACTCGACCAGAAAATCAATGACAGGGTTCAGGACGCACACTATAAGTCCATGAAATCGCGACATTGGATCTTGTGAAGTATATTGGTGTTCGAATTTATTATAGGAAGTCTGAAGCTTTGCGTCAACCAGCGGAATGCGGCCTCACAGGTGCCACAAGAGCACCCAAGGTAGACATGTACCGCGGTGGACACGACACTGAAAACCGCGCACGTAATCGTTATCTCGTCTGCACTTTGGTAACATTACAATTCCCACAACGACCATGCTGACATGACGGGCATGAAGCGCATCTGTATGGTATAGACGGAGACCCACAGTGGCAGCATTGCCATACATAGGTATGTTTCCTCTTTAGCTGGCGTGGTAAGTATGTCTCCAAGGTTTGTAAAGGTCAGCACCAGTGACTCACTGTAGGTACGTCAATGCGACCGGGCGACTCCGATTCATCATGGAAGGTCCATGACGGACGTGGAGACAGAGGAATCTCACACCGTATGAGAATTCCGAGATACCAGACATCGCGATTCTTCAGACCAGTATAAAAGCTAAGACCGGGTTTGCTGGAGTGACGACACGTATGTGAACCACCAGCACGCATGAGACAATTACAGTGTAAGGCTACACCTCGACAATGCGTCTGATCGCCACCTCCTTGCACATTACTCTGATTATCGCTCATCTCGTGTCTTCGCGATGGATTGACGGAGTTAGGCGCATGGAAATACGCTTTATCGTGTGCGGCCGAACTCGGGTGCGCGCGAACCGTTGAGGTTACTGGACAGGTGTGCACAAGCGCGTCGCAAAGGATAGAGGTATGTGTCTTGTCTACACATCGATTAGCTAAGGCTTTCCAGTTATCAGTGCTCCATGAGAGCTGCTGTCGCGCTGCCTCTGTCCGACGCTGATGCAGACATCACTAAGGCGACTCGATAGCCTTATGTGCGCAGGCTGGAACTCAGGCCCTTGAGAACTATTGTAGAGCAGTGAGAGCAGTTGTGTTGCATGGTTCACGGTAGGAAGTTTGATGACAGTGGCTACATGACTGGTGGAAGCAGTGGAAGAGTCGAGCCTTACCTGTTCGATTAGCGTTGCTGAAGTCCCTTCCCAATGTGTGGACCCTGCCCAGGTGGAGTGCCCCGCAACAGAAGTTCCTCTAAACTACGGGAAGATAAAGAAAATCTGGAACGCTTCGACACGGCAGGTTATAACTACTTCTACCTTATGTCTTCAATTATACGTCCACTCCGGCTTTCCGAAATATCCTCCTGTGCGGCGGACCGGCAAATCGTCGTCAGGAACGCATGTCGGTTGTTTGTTTAAACTGTACTTAGGTACACCGCCCTGGTGGTCTGCGAATAACTTAGCTTTGATCAAGACACGGGAGAATCAAGCCGTATTGGTATAGAGAATTACTTCGGCTACCTAGGTACCGTATCACTAGGTATAAAGTCACCAATGTGCGTTGGTCAATTGCAGTCAACAGAAATCTCCTGCGAAGAGGCTTCTTAGCTGATTGGAGAACCATCATCATGTAAGGCTGGATCACCACTGTTCAAGGTATAGTCTTGTCGCCCAAAAACGGATCGCAGAAAAATCGGGAGCTGCAGCTGACTGACCGCCTATCCCTAGCGTGGTTACGTAGGCGTCGATGAAGCAAAAATGCACCGGCATTCAGGGAAGATACAGTCGTTCGGTCGGGCAGGAACACATCTCGGTTTGCATTTGATCGTGAGCTTTTTCCTACCATGCGTACTTACGGAGCCACAGATTGGTGAACCCACAGCTCCAGACCGCTGTCCGCCGCTCCATCTCACACATGTCGATCGCCGCGGTGTGACAGCATGATGCTAATGCCCAGCGCCCGGTTCCTGTCACAAAGTGCCCTACCACCGCCAATATTCCGTGAGTCTAGGATACCCGCATGCAAACATTCTCAGGAGTGAACTAGAACTAAGTCTAAAAACACATTCGCACTACAATAGTTACGTGTCAAAGCTGTAAGAAGCATTTCCAGTCTACTTCTCGATTAGCTGCGCGGGAACTAACAAAGTGTAAAGTCAAGTGTACCCCACTAGAATTTTGAAGAGAAAATATTATACAGACACGTCAAGCGGGAATCCCTTGTACCGCTGTTATTGTTTTTCAGTGGCGGTTGAAGTCGGCCACCTGACAAATATGACGACGTCCCATATCCCGTCTCCCTGTTTGATCATCCGTCAGAATGGAGTACGAGATGTACCTAGGTAGTTGTACGGCGGTCGTCAACATGGGACAGAACACGATCAGCTGTAGCCTGGAAACTCCAGAAAACATGGAGAATTGGAACGGCGTGGGCAGAAAGACTTCTGTGCTTATCTTTCGTAAGTAGTAACGATAACAATGCTAGCCGTTGCTCAGATCATCAGATGTACTTCACTGTGATACCTGAGCTCCTGTCGCTTTCGAAGACAATCTTCGGAGCAAGGGAGTTGATGATGGAAGTGAATATACTAAGCCCAATTGGTGATTCTCCAATCGATATCCGGTCTATGATAATTGCAAGGACGTAGCCCCGTGAACAACCACTTCCATAATTGTGACTCCCCGAGACAACTACATGAACGAACCCTATCTCACATTTCTATGGGAAGATCGATCTCCGACTATTTGGTAGGACCAAATCCAGGATGATACCCAGCTGACCATCTCGATCCCGAGGTCGCTTCGACGGTGTGAGATGACTCGAAGATTGAACCAAGAATCTGGTCGGAGTACAGCATAAATCACTGTTGTGTTTTACTTGTGTTCAAGGTGTGACCAACAGATGTACGGTATGGGTGAGCGAAGTCCGCGTGTTGCTGCGTTGTTGATCAGATCGGGTATGTTCCACGTTTCGGGGTGCTGTTAGTACCCGTTTCTATCACCGCAATTTCTGCGAGTTTTAATGCGATACATCCGCCATCGAAGATCTAGAAAGGTTCAATAGCCTCGATCGGAAAATGAATTAGATAGTTCGAGTAATGTATATGAGTAGGCGAAGATGTTAGGTACGATACTCAAACAAAGGGATTGTTGGAGGAGGGTACAGCAACTGTTATCCGGAGGGTGATACTGCGAGGCAGGATGACAGGAATGGTGTACTTCGATTTCGTTATTCGGACTGGAAAATATGGTCTGAAACATAATAGCCCTGCCGCAATAATCCGCTGTACCCAATACTCAAACAGCGGAAGCTGGTGGCTAAATGGTGTTGGTGATCGTCATAGGCGGGTAGCGAAGCTTGAAGCTCGAAGCTTCAGCTCCCAGCACCAAGCTGTCAAGCCACCCTCACTCCTCACGTCGACGCTCAACTGAGCCATCGATTTCTACCCACAACAACGAAAATGCTCCGCTGGGCCCTCCCGATCCTTTCCCTTGCCATTGGCGCCCTGGCTGCCATTCCGCCATTCCAAACAACTGTCGAGCCCACCATCTTAGAACCTTCCACATCGAAAGAGCTCCTGTACCTCCATCGCAAACTCGTAGAAATCGAATCCATATCTGGGAACGAAAAGAATGTCGGCGATTGGCTCACCGAATACCTCCGCGCGCACAATTGGACTGTCGAGAAGCAGGAAGCATCCAAAGACCGATACAACCTTCTAGCCTACGGCAGCAAGCGCGAAACAACCATCCTCCTATCCTCGCATATCGACGTCGTACCACCATACTGGCCGTACTACTATAACGAAACAACCGATGTGATCGGCGGCAGAGGCAGCGTAGATGCGAAGGGCAGCGTCGCACCTATGATAATCGCCGCGCAAGGCATAAAAGAACACCTGCAGGATGACATGTCCCTGCTCTTCGTTGTCGGCGAAGAAACAGGCGGCGACGGCATGCGCGCGTTCAGCAACTGGGACAAGCGCCCATCCTCCCACGAAATCGTCATCTTCGGCGAACCCACCGAGGCGAAACTAGTCTGTGGACACAAGGGCATGCTAGGCTTCGAAGTCAAAGCAACAGGCAAAGCGGCACATTCAGGATACCCATGGTTGGGCGTCAGCGCAAACGACATCATGGTACAAGCACTGGGCGAGCTCTTGAAGCTACGAGAGCACCTCCCATGGAGCACGAAGTACGGCAACACAACCATGAACTTCGGGCACATACAAGGCGGAGTCGCAGCCAACGTCGTCGCCGAAACCGCAACCGCGAACATCGCCACGCGCATCGCAGCCGGCACCCCCGATGTCATACGCGGACAAATCCTTGACGCGCTCAAAGACGTCAAAGCCTTTGCGCAGAAAGAAGGTGGCGATCTGGACGTACAATGGGGTGGCGAGGCATACGGTGTGGTGAACATAAACTGTGATATCGAGGGCTTCGAGACCTTGACTGTCAATTACGGAACGGATGTGCCGCACCTCTCTGGTGACCACAAGAGGTACCTGTACGGTCCCGGCTCCATCTTCGTCGCGCATTCAGACCACGAGGCGCTGAAGAGGCAGGAGTTGGAACAGGCTGTTCTAGATTACCGTCGTCTTATTCTCAAGGCGACAGAGGTAAGGGAGAAGGAGCGGCAGATGCAGGACGAGGAGCAGCTAGAGTTATGAACTTGGGTGAAGATCAGGATGTAAATTGTAGATAACTAGATACCCAAACGCAACGAGTCTTTCCCTCTGCTTCATCTGTAGCCACTAGCCAGCTTGATGTACCCCCACATTTAGTCTACCAGGAGAAGAGTCTCGCTCAATACGGGTAGGTCTGAAAGCAGGTGCTCAATGCCCCTTCCCAAGCTCCACTCCTCGACGTTTTACAGCCAAAGAGCAAACTGGGTAGATGGCACAAAGATTATTCTGGCGCATAATCCCTCATATTTGAAGGGACAGAGCGAACCAGCAATGGAAGAGAATGCGTGGTCCGTCTGGGTTCTGTTCGTTGCGCTGGTGAAAGAGACTGAGAGTAACGCGTAGAGAGATGCTTTGGCCGGCGCACGGAGCGGCGGAAGGTATGACCGGCGACGATAAGATAGACAGCAGCCAGAAGTGAGATGAGATGGCAAAGGAGGAAGGAGCGATGACACCGCGCTATGCATTCAACTTACCAACGCCGATGATGCTAGCGTCTCATACCTCATATCATACATTTACTTATACAATCATTAAACCGTCGATCGAAATTCTCAGCTTGCGATAGCCGGCACGTCGTCCTCCTTTTGCGCAATACCCTCAGCTTCCTCAGCGGCCTTTGCAGTTTCCGACATACCCAGGTCTCTGAACTGCCAGCCATCATTCTCTTTGACCCAGTCTTTCCGCTCGCCCAAGATAGCTACACTGCTCTCGGCGCCCTTGACGAGGAACTGGTCGGCTACGGCTTGTACCTGCTCAGCTGTGACGTCGAGGAGGCGTTCGCGACGCGTCTGCAGCATATCGTCTGTGACGCCAGACAGGAACAGCCTCATTCCCTCGCGACTGACACTTTGCGGCGCATCGTATCCTTGGAATGCACTCAGCTTGGCTTCTTCAAGATCCTGAGGTGTCCATGCGCGGTCGCGCGCCCATTGCCCTGCTTCGGCCATGATCTTCATACTGTTCTGCGGGTTGGGGTCGCGGTATGAGTACATGCCGAAGAGACCGCCGATGCTACGTGCGTAAGCACCACCGCCGTATGCGCCACCTTTCTCGCGAATTTCTGGATGAAGTTGCTTGAAGGTAAGGAGCTTCGCGAGGATCTCGAGAGGTGCGCTGGAGGCGTCGGTGTAGGCCACTGTCGGGACAGCGCGGGCGGAGTAGTAGACTTGGTAAGGCAGAGGGAAGAATGACTTGGCGTTCCGAGGGTACTGCTTTTGCTGTGACGTCGAGGGCACAGAGACGTCCTTGGGTAATGTGTTCAAGAAGCGATGTAGTGCCTCCTGGTTTGGCGTTGAGCTCTCGCTACCGCAGTTGATCGCTACGCGGAGTTGGTTGCTGTTCGTGATAGTGAAAGACTGGATAGCTTTGAGTTTCTTGATGACATCGTCTAGCGACTCTTGCGATGCGAGAGCTGTCATAACCTTGACTTGGGTGAGACCCCCAGTTTCTTCTGCCAATCGGCTCACAGGACTGATTCCAGCTTCAGCGAACTTCATGGCATAAGAATGACCAGACTCTGCGATCGAGTTGATGGCACCACTTGCCGCACTCTGCAGGAGCTCTCGGATCTTCTTGCCCGCTTCAGGCCCATCAAAGTCCGTCTCTTGTATGATAGTCCGTAGGAGTTCGTACATGTCGGGTATGTTACGGTCGAAAGCGTAGCCGGAAAATGCCATACCTTCTTCGTACGCGTCGAGCGACAAGGGTGACTGTGAAGAGTGGTAGCCTACGGAGATGCCTCCAGTCTTCAGCTTGATCAGTTCCTCAAGTTGTTCCATTGTCTTGTCTTTGGTACCAAGGCGCATGATGGCGCTGGTGAATAGCGGGATCATCTCTCGTAACTCGTCGGGGAGATCCTGTAATCTGTGCACAGCACGGAAGTACGTCAGACCGTTGGTGGGTGCCTCGCGCCACTGGACCTTGACGCCATCCAGCTGAGTATGTCGCAGTGGCTTCCTCTCCTTTTCTCGAGGAATATCCTTGACGTGAACAGTGGGCAAACAGCTCAAATCTTCGTTTCTGGCTTTCTCTTGGACTTCCAATAGCTGAAGCTCTCGCTCTTCCAGGTACTTCTGCGCCTCCTGCTCGCTTGGGAACTGCTTCGTGGTCTCTGCAATCTTTGCCGCTAATCGTTGGCTTTCTTCATCGACGAGTTCCTGGCTGAACGTCTCCGATGGCTGCATGGTGAAGGTCAGGGTTTTGTCGGTGAGTAGGTACTTTTCAATCAGGCTCTCCAAATAGTTGCCTTCAGCGTACTTCTTCTGGAAAGCGTTGACCGTTTCTTGCCAAGCGAGGGCCTCCATTGGGTCGATACCGTTGAACCAGCCAGGCTTTAGTCTTTGGAGGATGCCCATCCCAAAGTTGGCAGTCTTGTGCTTGAGCGAGAGCTCCAGCTGATGTAGAATACCATCGACCTTGATCTTGTCGAAGCCGTTTTTGCGCACCTCGAGTAAGGTCTCCGCAATGGTCTCGCGGACCTTGTTCACATCATCCGCTTTGACGGCGTCCAACCCAATGGACAAGACACCTCGTCGTCCAGCGCTGTCATAGCCAGTATTCGCACTGAAATCAGCACCAAGTCCAGATTCTACAAGATTGCGGTAGAGAGGCGAGCCGTAGCCGCTCATAAGCAGACTGCTCAGTACTCCCAGCGCAAAGTTCTCTACGGCGTCTGCAGTGTCGCCCATCAACCATGTAACCGAAGTCTTGTACTGCCTGTCCTGAGGTACCAGTGGGTCGAGAGGTCCCGCAACCGTGACTTCCTTGGGGCCGTCCAGAGTTATTGGTGCCTTCACTTCCTGATCCACGGCTATCTTGTCAAAACCGTTCAAGCGACTGTCCACCTCCTTCAGATGCTCCACCAAAGGCATGTCTCCGTACGTGAGAATCTTGGCATTGCTGGGATGATAGTGGTCGGCGTGGAATTTCCGTAGCTGGTCCCAAGTCAGGTCGGTAATCTTCTGCGGGTCGCCACCGGAATTGTTGATGGCCGGGTATAGGTGATCTTGGAATTTGGTGTAGAACAGGTAGCTTGCATCCGACATCTGGCCCTTCATTTCGTTGTATACCACGCCCTTGAAAACGATGCGCTTCGCGTTGGGGTCCTCCGACTCTTTTGCCAGCGGGTTCTCAGGACCCAACCGCCACCCCTCTTGGGTAAAGTCATTCTCCTTCAGTAACGGGTGTAGCGTCGCATCGAGGTATACGGACATGAGGTTTTTGAAATCTTGCGCGTTTGTCGTGGCGAACGGGTAGCCAGTGTGGTCGGGAAAGGTCCAGGCATTCATGAAGTTGGACAGCGAGCGGGGGAGCATCTTGAAGAAGGGGTCGCGGATGGGGTACCTGGACTGTCAGAGATACGTTGGTTGGAATATTAAGGTGACATACTTCTCACTACCACACAGTGTGGTGTGCTCGAGGATGTGTGGCACTCCGGTAGCATCTGGTGGGTTGGTCTTGAAGCCAATCGAAAAGACATTGTTCGCATCCTCGCGGGCAATGTGCAGATATTCGGCGCCAGTCTTGTCATGCTGGAGATGTAAAGCGGTCAGCTCGAGCTCCGGCACCTGCTTGACGCGCTTGAGGGTGAAGCCATGCAGCTGCTCGCCGACATTGGGGAAGTTGGAGACATCGGTGATAGCGGCATATCCACGTCGAGACAAAGTCGATAGTCGGTGCGGGGTTATCGTGGCATTTCGAGGGCTTTGGACCTGCCGACCAACGGAACGTAGCATGTTTGGAATAGAGGGTGGATGACAGAGTGCCGCGCAGCCTCAGAAATGTCAGAGGCACCCCATCGATGACGCCTGTCGCGCCGATTGGCCGAGGGACCCCATACCAAAAGAGATTAGCCCGCAAAATTACTAAGACGAAAGAGTGCGCCTGGACAGGCTGTTGATGCGTTATACGGCTGGAGACATGTCGGATTGGCTAGCCTGCCAGTGATCTCATCTGTCGGGTCCGATATTGAAGCTCGTGGGCGTTGTGGAGACTACCAGGTGTCTTGTGCCTTTCGCGATCGACCAGACCACCGACGTCGTCCCCTCCTTCCTCTTCAACACCCGCCACGAGACATTGCCCGACCCGACCCCGACGACTGCATGACCCGACACTGTACATATTGCTACACCACGCCCGTTGACGCCTCCTGCACTGCGCTCCACACCTGTTTTCACCCGAAGCAGCCCCGAGACGCCGGCGGAAGACGTGCATCCTCACCACGCGCATTGTAGACAGGCGGCTGCTGCCAGACGGATGCGCCACTGGACTGCTTAGAGACCTGCATTGGGGACACGTGAGACTGAGTGCATAGGTGGAGGAACCGTCGGAGGCAACACGGGGGATCCACAAGCTGAGGCGCTACACGGAAGAGTCACGACTTCATGGCAACCGTCGCCCAACAGCGCCAGCCGACGTCTGCCCAGTCCCGCCCTCACCACGAAGCCAGCCGCAGTGCATCTGCCTCTCCTGCAAACATGGCACCCGCACAGCACAACCCAGCCCCAGCGCCTGCGCCCGCTAAGAAGGGCAAAGGCAAGAAGGCGACCGACCCCTCGGAGCAGCAGAAGCAGATCCAGGCCAAGATTGCTCAGCTCGAACTGGACCAGGCCGGGGACAAGGAGCAGGAACTCGAAATCGGTGCGTCTACCTCTTGCGACGGAGCTGTGGAGGAGGGGATACTCTGGGTGGCGCAGCCCATGTCTGCACAGCACGAGACTGGGGCCCTATCAAATGAATCGCTGGCTGACGTATGGCATGGACAGAACGCGAAGTTAAGAAAGCAAACCGCGAACTCTCCTCGCTCCTCTCCAACATGGACGGCCCGCTGTCCCGGCTCGAAGTCGTGCAGAAACGATATACCGAACTCCTCTCCGATATGAAGCGCACGGAACGCGAACACCAAAAGGCGAAGAAGCGCGGGGACCAGCTGCAGAAGGAAAAGGACGCGCAAAGGTCGGAGTTGAACAAGGTTACGACAATGA